TCCTGAAATGAAGTTTTTTGGTAGTTCATGGCGGATGTCCTTACCGACAAGGGAGCGTTGCTTTCGCCACCGGTCTTGGGCTCCTCTCCCGCTTTTTCGTCCCTGGATGGCTTCTTCTTGTCCACCTAGCAACGAAAGGAAAATGTGTTTTTGTGGCGGAACAAGAAAGTATGGGGGAACCTCGAGAAAAGCTTGCCCCCCCTTGCCCCCCTTACCTACTTAGGGACTTTTGAGCACGAAATAGCAGCAAAGGGGGGGATGGTCAATGGAGGAGAAATCTAGCTTGCTCCCTTACCGCCTTAGGGACTTGAGCCGAAATGACGAAGCGATGTTGTAGTTGATGGCGGAGATGGTCACAAGAAAAATCTCTGGGACTTCCTGAAAAGCTTGCCCCCTTGCCCCCTTACCACCTTAGGGACTTGAGCTCCAAATAGGGGCAAAAACGGCCATCGACGATCGAGGGAGATTCGAGCTTGCCCCCTTGCCCCCTCACCTTCTTGAACTGAATGCAGCAGATGTCACCGAATTACTCCAACATGACATCATCATCCTCTTGATCCTCCGTGAGAGGAGGGCTGTCTGGCTCGGGCTGGGACAGATCTACGGGGTCCTCTCTGCGGGCCCCCTCCGTGCCCCCCTCTTCTTTCCCGTGCGAGCCCGCGTGCGCTCCTGTTTCTAGAGGGTTCTCTGGGTCGCTTTCTTGAGAGGGCTCAAGCTGGTAGGACTTGCGCCTCGGTCGCTCTGGCTGACTCTTCCCATCTGCTGGCAGTCGTCTTTTAACGACCCGGTTCTCTGGCTCTTCCTCCGACTCCGCTTCCTCTCTCTCTGCGTCCATCCGGGCGTACGCTATGAGAGGATCGACCGGGTCTTGAGTCGATTCGTCCATCATGGCCCTGTCCTGGGAGGTTTCCTGATCCTCCGTCTCCTCCTCCCGGTCGTACTCGACCCCTTCGATATCCTCGCCCTGCGACTCTGGGACCTCCTCTGAGCCCTGCTCCGACTCGGGTCCGTCTTCCTGCACGCAATTGCAGGAAGTGGTGGCATCAGTCGTATGCCTGCTCTTGCAAGTCCAGAAAAACATGAGAGAAGCATTGAAGAGTTCCATCGTTAATCTCACAAGTCGGTTCATGACGCTTCCACGACCAACAGATGATGACTTGTACCTTAGGGAAGTTGATGCGTTGAAGCCTTATTTTCAGCTGTACAAGAATTGGGGGTACAGAGACGGGCCATACGGCCATCACACGAAATTTGAGCTCGAGAGTACAAAGAGCCGTTGGATCCAAAGCTTCACGGACCCGTTGTTTCGCAACTTACAACAGCTCGACGTCCAAAACGCCACCCGCATGCGGCGGATCGATTTCAAAGCGAAAATCGAAGATGCTTCTGATACAATCGACAAGATCCGAATGCATGGCAACCCTGGCCAACTAACTGAGGGCATCGGACTCATTGTAAGCTTCATGGAAGCGAACGGGAAACTCATGGAGAGGCTCGCTAATGAGGACCTCTTTAAGCATTTAGACGAGGTCAGCACGATGTTCGTATGCTTCGTAGCTGCTGCTAGAGCAATCGTGCTTCTCAGTGAATCCTCTGCAGAAGAAGCACAGCAAATCATGCAGGAATGCTTTTAGGTATGCTTCTCAGATGGGGACGCGGGACCTAGTTCCCAAACTCAGTCACCTCAGATCTTCTTCCGAAACAAGCTAAGGCGCGCTTACACAGGTCCACGGGGCGGCCGCTACGTCAAAATCAGAGGCCAAAAGGTGTACATCCCCACCGGTTAAGGATCTCCCCTCACAAGCGTGTGCCACAACACACCGAAGCATCACCGAGCACCATTCAAGATCTGTAGATTGCAGAGGGGCGGTGAAACTTGAACCACATTCGAAGCAGAATCTCACCAATCAGCAGCACAGTCAGCAGCACATGCGGTGTTCTCCAACGCAAGTCAACAAAAGTCCTCGAGTTTTCCTTTCACTCACCCGAGTTTTCTCTGATTGTCTGCTCGAGTTCTCCGCCGGCTCCTCATCCACAGACGATTGCTCGGGCGGCTGCAGCATTTCCTCTTCCTGCATGAGAGATGAATGTTTCTGTACGGATTCCATCAAAGGGCATGGTCGCATCCTATCGGTTTCTGCCATCGACGGCGTACATCTCAGGGTGACCACGAGGCAGCTAGCAAGGGCGGGAAGCGAGGGAGAAAGACATCGAGCATGCTTTGAATCTGTTGAGGACTTGCCTTTTGTCCATGGTCGGTCGTCGGGGGTTCGCCCCCGCTGGGAGACTCTACTGATACCCGGGTTTGCGCACCAGGGGTAGCTCCTTCCAGAGCCGGACTACGAGACTTTCTCACCCGCTTCTTCTTTACGGGGCGTCGCAAACTAGCAATGGGGGCATCATCATTCGAAGAGCAGTCCGTTGTTTTCTCCAACGGATTGTTGCCCTCTTGGCTTGCCTGTGGAATGCACATGTTCTTACTTCTGATTTCTTTTGTTGATTACTATGGCCATTGAAATCCTGAGCAGAAAACGTGCCGAGTGCATAGGTTTGAGTTCATTTTCTTTTTTTTGAACGGTGCGGCATCGCTGCTGGCCAATCCCACTTGAGGCAAAGCAAACACATGCCTAATGTTCAGGCCAATCCAGGTACATGCAGTATTGCGTCGAGAGCTATAGGCTTGACGCAGCTTCAAGGAGACACATCCAAGGTTGCATATTTTTTGAATTGCAAGGTTCGCGGTCGGTACAGTAGTCCATCAAAAGGAGCCTAAAGTATCTTCTTTCACCCCAGAAAACGATCACATTCCGAATCGATTGGAGGAAGGGGGCGGACTCCCTAAGGTTTCTACCCCCAACCGTCAATAAATAGGAGTACCTTCGCGCGACAAAAGCACCGCACTGAGGATCAAAGTCACTGCCTAGCAATATACATAAGGGGGGTCCGAGTTCCCCTTCCGCATCGCAAACTTGCACCGCATCCTGCATATCAGCAATTGCACGGCGCGGGGCGTGGCTCCTACGTCATCGAACGTCGTCCCGGGCAATCTCTATCAGGGCGGTCTGGAAGAACCGAAATGTATGAAGTGACTAAGATGTCATGAGCAGCGGAGCGAGGAATTCTAATAGAAGAGAGGCAGCTGCACAACAAGCTGGATGAGCTTGGCAGGATCAGTAAAAACTGCTGTGTCAAAATCCATGGAAAGCAACCGGGCTGTAAATTCTACCTTGATCCGTTTTGAAAACAACGACCAGTCGAGCCTTTTTCTGGGAAAGAAGAGAGTGAGTCTTGAATGAGATCTCACCGTCTTGTTCTGCAGCTCGTTCCTCGCCTTGCTCTCCCGTTCCAGACCTTCTGGTACGGGTTCCTGAACAGCATCAAGCGCCTGCAACATCTCTTCATCCTGCAGAGACAAGAGCTGCTTCAATAATCCAATTGGGTTGCGACAGTTCGGCAAGTCGAGAGACTGTACAGCACGCATGGACTGCGCAGCAGGATGTTTTTTTGAGACTGTGGAAGGCAAGTGCATTGATATGCTTAGGCAGCAAGGAGGGGGCACCTCCATATACAGAGGACTGATAGAGGGGAAAACCAGCCACTTTTTGCGGTCTCAAGAGGCGCAAGTGGCAATGGGGCAGAAGTAGGGATAGGGAACCTGAAGGTACCTGCGGGGGTGCTGCTTCAGCAGCCACCTCGGCCGGGGGTGCCGCTTCTGGCACTGCGGTAACAGCCCTCATCGCCTTCCTCCTCTTCTCCATCTCGGAATTGTAGAGGAGCTGCCTAGCATCAGCATCCGGAACTGGCTCCACCTGCAAAGACAAGAAGAGAAGGAAAATATTGATGCATGAACCAACTGCCTCGAGGGCTCCAAGTCGATTGACACGATCGACGCAGAAGTAAAGTTGCAAGTCGACGCTATGTTTTTGCGACTTACCGCGTCCGAGATCTTGATCTGCAAGCGTTTGACGGGTTGCCCTGGGTGTCGCTCCACACACCCGATCAACAGGAGGATGACTGCAAACGGTGGAGAAGGTGCAATTAGTGCAATCAGCGCGTCAAAAGTGAGGGTGAGCGCCCTGGTTTTTGAAGGCAAACGTGGACACACAGACTCGATCAACGAGCAGGAGTAGACACTGTATTTTGCGCAAACGCTTTTGCCCGACTGGTTGAGTTACTCACCAATCAGCAGTCGGCTCATGATGTCGATGAAGGGCGCACCAGCTCCAGGTTCACCAGGAGCTGCACAAACACCGTCGGAGCGTAAGAATGACGCAAGAAAGGAGCCGCATTTCTTGAGAGAGAGAGGGGGGAGCGGGAAAGCGCACAGGACCGCCCATCAAGCCTCTGTCAAAGAAATTGCTGAGCGCCTGTGAGATCCATACTCACCGTCGTCCACTTCTTCGTGCGCTGGACCCGGATCCGCTCCCATCTGCGCCAACTCTTCCTCCAGGGCTGCAAGCTTAGCTTTGAGTTGCCGCGGGCCAATGCGATTCTGCAACCAAGCTGCGCAATGAAACGAAGGGGGAAGCATTAGGAGGAACTTCACCTGGTGCCTGGCAAAGTTGAAGCAGTGCACCAATTCTCACGCAATGGTCCAGCTGCAGCTTCCCATTCATTCCTTGCATGAACATTGCAACAGACTTTTTAAGGTGTTGCAACAGACTTTTAGGTGGCAAATTGAGGGGGATAATCGAGGAGGACCAGCTGGTGAAAGGAAAGATTCTTACTTTCCCTGTCCATGTCGATCTTGAAGCAGCCAGGCCGACGGTCATGTGCATCACAAGAGTACTGCACGTCCCCACGGCCCTTGCCGCCGCGTCGTCCATGGGTGGCTGGCTTGGCGCACTCCCGACAGAAGAGACTATGTACATCTGAAGCAGAAGAGATTTGCTGTCAGTTACTACGTGCCACATTCAAGTCTAACGCTCGGACACATAGGTAGCACCGGCACAGTTCGGTTGATGCAAAGGCCTCCCTTTGAAGCCGCATCTAGTTGGCACTGGTCACTTTCTCTGGGAACCTAAGGACTTGCAGTTGGCGTTTAAAAAGTGTTTGCAGCATATTGATACCTCCAACTTGAAAGCACAGGGTGGAGAGCTTTCTTTTGAAACTCCTTGCATGATCTGCCGTGTGCCTGTTATGCTGACTTCCTAGTTACTGCATGCCACATTCAGGTTGCCCTAAGCAAATGACCAAAAGCTCAACACAGACATTGGCTCTAACGCTTAGACACATAGGTAGCACCGGCACAGTTGCGTTGATGCACAAGGCCGCCCTTTTGAAGTTGCATCTAGTTGGCACTGGTAACTTTCTCTCGGAACTTAAGGACTTTCACTTGAAAAGCACGGGGCGGGAAAAACTCACCAGTAGCTTCCTCTTGAAACTTCTTGCATAATCTGCCGGGTGCCTTTTGTGCTGATTTCCCAGTGACAGAACGCTTCTCTTGGCTCACCGGGCAGCCATCCCTTGAGCAAGGCCTCTTACTACCGGGTTTGCCGTTCTTGCGCTTCCGCCGACAAGGAGTCTGTCCAATGATTGGCTGATTGACGGAAGCAAAGAGTGCTTCCTGCTTTTCGATGCTTATGTGTATTCTTGCACGATACTCAGCTGCTCTTGCGAATCTTTCCGCCTGACATGCCCTGTGATCTGACTTTGTTCGACCCTGAGGGCGGATCCTCACCATTTTCACTGCTTGAGGATTGCCGAAAACACAACCACTGCAATTGCAATTGGGACAGGACCTGTAAAAAAAAGCAAATTGACTAGCGATTCAGCGAGGTCTAACGGAAGTCTGACGAACTCTGATGCTGGCGCTTAGAAAGACTTTGAATTGCTCTAGATAATAGCAATTCCTTAACCGACGCTGATGCTGACCGGGCTGAAGAGCGTCACAACTCGTAAAACTCTAATCTGACGCAGCCAAACCTGCAGCGAAGCGCAATGCAAAAGCAATCCTCACTGAACCAGACAGGGGGTTGTGCTTCTCTAGGTGACCCCATCAATTTTAAACATGGTGGCTCCTTCTAAGAGCCCAGAGACAGCGCATATGCTTAACCCCCATCAATGGCGGAGTTGGTGGAAGTTTTGACCCCTGAGGCGAGATGACCTCGGACAAACTTGCGAGAACTCGCAAGGAAGGCTTTGCAAGGCCAGAGATAATGAATGCATACAGTGGATGTAATCATGAGTCGCCAAGCTGATAGAGCGCAAAAGAGAGGCAGAAAGAAGAGTCTCCAGTAAACACCACTGACAAAACGAAGGTTTCCCCCCTCCCGCATCTCAAAAGATCAGTGTGACATCATGTTCAAACCCAGCCCTTTAAAGAAATCTCAAACTATGCTCCAAAGGAATCCGCATCGGGGGCATGGACCTGCAATAGCGTCTCTCTCCCAGAAAGGACGTGGCCAAGGACACGCGGCAGGGGGCGGCAACTTTCAACTGATGTCTCCTCGCCAAGAACACCTTCCCTGTCAGCGTTTTTGTGGCGACTTGGACCAATACGGCAGACACAGAAAATTAGACTCTACTTGTTACAGTTAGGTGTAATCTGATTGCTCTGTCCCCGCTCTGTCAAGAGTCGGATGCACCTTGCCCATGTTTCTGATGCAGATTCATTCAACTCTCAATTTGCCTTGCAAGTCACTGAAAAAGAAAATAAGAATCCTCACTTCTTTCCGCCGCAAGTCTGCGCCGCCTCCTCTAATTTACTGCGGCCCCGCTTGAGCTTTCTGTGAAATCTGTCCTCCTTGCGTTACTGTGCCAACACATTCAGCAAGCTGCCTCTCCACAATCCACCTCTCATCGCAGTTCCCGTATAACTCTCTTCACCTTTCGTGCTTCTCTATCCCACGCAGCTGCCATTCCAATTGCTAGCCTGCTCTCTTGCAATTGCGCTTGCAGCCAAAATGCCTCAGCTACTCTAGGTTGGCCCGCTGCCTTTCAGGCCCACTCTTTCGCTTGCAGTATGATGACACACAAAAACATCGTAAAAATACAGACTCT